GATAGGGGTTGGTACCTATCAAAATATTTATCATCCGGAGGATCAGCAAAGAGCAACATCCGAAGGATGACCGGGCAAAAGGGTTAACTCCTTCCCCTACCAACTAATTTTGTTGACATATCAAGCCAACAAATTAGTTAGGCAGGTAAGGGGGGGCAGCTGTAGACCCCTAATTTTGCCCGGCCTCTCAATAAAAGCTAGGGAAACTTCACACGAAGATAAAGTTCGCCCGGCTTCTTAAATAAAAACCAAGGAGACCTCCTACAACTAACTCGGAGTTCAGACGGTCTCTCAATAAAGGCTAAAAAGACTTCCTACAATAAAGACAAGGCTCGCCTACCATCTCTGTAAAAGGCCAAGAAGACTTCCTATATGAAGATAAAGCTTCAACGGACGTTTATCGGCATCAAATGACGTCCGAATACACAAAGGAAAGCTTCTCGGGGGTCCCAGAACACGAAAGCTGGCCAAAACAGGTCGAGACGACCGTCCCAAGGTCGAGACGGCCGTCCCAACCTTCCCTGGCCAAGTGGGACGGCCGTCCCAAATGGGACTGCCAGTCCCAGCTCCCCAGGTGGTCTCAGTCAGTGTAAATGTTGCATTTGGGACGGCCATCCCAACCCAGACGGCCGTCCCACTCCAGACACGCGTCCCAAGGGTGCAGGCAGCGAAAACTATAAATTGGAAGCTCATTTGCCACTGTTCCACACACCAGACAACTCCCAGTACATGTCTATCCTCTTCCCTCTTCGAATGAACTCTCTGATTGCCTTTATAAGGTAACAATCAGTTAAGGAATCATATTCCAGCATTCGATTCTTCTATAAAATCGAGTCGAGTCGATCTTGTATTTGGAGAGGAGAGTCTTTGTAGAGTGAAGGATTGCCAAAACGTATCCTTGTGATTCAAGATTCGATATACAAAGCTTGCTACGGAGGTTCTGTTCAATTCTCTTATCTTTTACTGCTTTATTTATTGCTTTCTGTATGCAATAAGAAATAAAATCATGTAGATAGCCATTCTTAACATTATGCAATAAAATAAGGGTAATCGCGTAATTTCTTGTAATCTTAACTTAAATGAATTAATCCGTCATAGGGAACCCGAAAGGGGCGTTGTGGGGTGCTAACACCTTCCCCACACGTAACTAACTCCCTTACCTAACTCTGGTTATAATGGCCAAGTTTGGTTTTTAATAAAATCAACGCCTTTTTATCCTTTTCCAATGTTTATGGTCAAAACATTGGTGGCGACTCCAGAAGAACCCCTTTTCGAAAACCTTGCTTCTATTAGAGGATAGTTCAGTGTTGAGCGCCTCGGAAGCAATGAACATATTTTTAACCAAAAAACGCGAGTCTCAACCATCTTTTCACGACCACTCGCATAAACGTTCGAGATGTCCCAGGACGTCGGAACGGACGGCGGCAACACCAGTTAGTCAAATTTTGATTAGGATGTGCCTTCAGCCACTCCTTTGCCCTGCCAGCCAAAGAAAAAGGAAATAATCTCAAGTATGCAGATTCAATATCTGCTTCTCTAAATCTCATGGTATCAATCAACTCATAAAAAGTAGACAAGTGAATGTAGGGATCTTCGTTATCCATTTCAGTGAATTGATGAGCACTAATCAAGCTTAAGAAAGCTTACATCATCTCCATTGTTTGGTTGGCTGGTATTGCAATGCTGGAGAAGTGTCTCGGACCTTGCTGCATAACATAGTCTCTGAGTGTTCTTCTAAGTGAGATTTGGTTTTGATTCTGGTTTTGGTTTTCTCCTTCACCCTCCATGTCTTCTATAATTGGGTCTGGTAAATTGAGTGTGGAAGAAGAGTTAACTGATTCTCCTGTGACTTGTTCTTGAGTTTCCCTTCTTCTTCTACCACGGTTCCTCCGAACGGTTTTTTCAATCTCTGGATTAAATTCTAACTGCTCTGAAGATACTTGTCCTCTTAAACGCATAAATCAAAGAGTAACTCAAGCAAATATTAGCACAAGATAATAATTAAGCAAAATAAAACTAAAAATAAAACAAAAACATAAATAAAAATAAAATACTTAATAAGATAAACAAAGAATTCCCAAGGAACGTCGTTCCTCGGCAACGGCGCCAGAAATACTTGTTGAATTATTGGCAAGCATACCAAAATTATCAATCGCAGTATAGTATTTTGATTAAATAAAAGTCTATCCCACGAGGAACGGTTTCAATGGAAATTCTCAATTATATGCTTACTAAGTGGATTAAATTAAAATGGGTTTTGCATAAAGAGTTGAATTGAAATTAAATGACAAAGAACTGTAAATTGTTTAGAAAATATCAATTAAAGGCATTTAGGATTGACTTCCTTCCTTTTCCCTCTTTTGCAATGGTTATGTCCAATTAAGATCATCAATTAACCTAACAATGTTTATGTTACCTACTCAAATCATCCATGTTGATTTCTCACACATGAAATTCATAAGAAAACCTAATAAATGTTTATTTTGCACACAATTAAGAGATTTTCCAGCATTAGGTTTAGGTTGTTAAGCAATTGATACATTCATTCATTCTTGGCAATTAACGTAACAAATATTCTTACCATGATCTAGGGTTTAAGATATATTTTTCAATCATATTCCAAACATCAAGAATAAATCATTCCAAGGCACAAAAGATAAGAATAACAACATCAAAATATAGATTAATATCTCAAAATATCATCATGACACAAAAGAGTTCAAAGAAAATGCACTCAATCCCAAGATAATGAAGTTAGTCACTCATGGTGGTCATTACAGTGCTCCAAATGAGGAAGAATTAATGAAGATTGGACGAAACCCTAGCAGTAGTCGCGCCTCTTCTCCCAAAACCTCCTCCCCTTTCTCAAAACACATTTTATCTTTTTATAGGAGAATTTGGGTCTCGCATCTTTTGCTCAAGCGAAAATGTTCGCTCAAGCAAAAGTTCAGTATTTTCGCTCAAGCGAAAAGTGCTCGCTTGAGCGAGTGAGTTCCAGAGAAGTTTAACTAATTTTTGCTCAAGCGAAAATAATGGCGCTTGAGCGAATGAATTCCAGAGAGTTTTAACTAATTTTCGCTCAAGCGAGAGTCTATCTCGCTCGAGCAACTTCCATGTTGAAAATCTTCTTCCTCCTTTCAGTTTTTTATTCAATTATGTTGACAATTATGCTCCTTGCTCTTGTATCAAAATATTCTCGAATTCATCCTACATTGAGAGAAAAATATATTAGAATTGAATAACAATTAAAAGTATAATTATGATTTGTGAGTATATTAAATATAGTTTCTTCACTTATGATTTGTGAGTATATTATATTTTCTTCACTTATGATATGTGAGTATATTAAATATAGTTTCTCACTCTATTTTATACGTTTTAATGACATGAATTATAAAAATATAAAATATCATTTAAAATTAAAATACCAACTCTCCCACATCTTTTTATTAGAGAATTACATAATCTTGAATTTATATTAATAAATATTAAATTTACATCAATTTTACCCATTTGATTCAAAGTAATTATCTTAAGAAGGACAGGAGATATTAGTATCTTTCTGTAAGTAATTTTTTCTCGAATCTAAATTTGGTTTCAAAAGATTGTTTTTCTTCTTCTTTTTTTCTTTAAGATTTTTACACAATTTTTTATAATAAATTAAGTAAGAGCTCCTCTCTATTTTAAAATAAACTTTTTGTTTCCCTGCCGTGATCCATTATCGGCACTATATAGATTAAATTATAAGTTTGTCCCCGTAAGAGATGTTCAAATTATTATCTTTGTCGTGTATTATATTCTAAATCATTCTAATTTAACAAACTTTGTACGGATATTTTCTCTCATTTTCTTTCTTTAGAACATTGATGAGTTTTGAATCTGTTTTGTTACTTGTTAATGTTTTGAACGAAATTTGTAACTTAAGTATCTCAATTGTAACCAGGAAATGACAAGTTGTAAGTTTGTGAACGTTCAAGAATATTGAAAATGGAGAAAATGTCAAAGATGAATTTCACTAATCCAAATATGGAGTATGGAAGAGAATTTTTAGAACAAAATAGTTCTAAGAAATATAGTGGAACAAGAACAATAATCTATTTCATCTCAAACATGTAGATAATTACATTTCTTTCAAAACCTATCAAGATAGATAATATAGTTAATTTTAGACGAGTACACGCATGCATATTTTGTTTTTGGACCATTAGGACAAAAAATACCTATAATATAAATAACCAATTATCAGAGTTAAAATATTTGAACAGTTATAACACCTAACACTAGGTTTGACAATGGAAGAGTACATGCATTTCCTATATGTTCTAAAAATTGTCCTAATTCACTACTTTACATTTTTATTTTTATGATTTATCTTTCTGAATAATTTTGGTATCCAATATATATTTGAGTTATTTGTTAATAGCTGACTTTTTTTTGTTTTAACATGGATTTTTCCAAGTTCATTAAATTAAAATTAGAGACTAATCTCAGATAATAATACGATTATCACTTATTTACGGAGGTTTCACATACAATAAAAATTAAACACGAATTTATCCTCACAACTTTTGAGTATGGAGTTGCTCCTCTGTTAAAGGGATGTATTGATAACTATTTTCTGTCTTCTACAAGCTATTTCTCTCAACCAGAGATAATTAATCATATATGCACACTGTAATTTTTCAAGCATTATTACGAACAGTCAACAGAAGCACAAATCAACAGCAGCCAAACACGTTCTACAAATATAGCAACAACACTAGGTCAGAGGAGAATAAATGAAAAATAATTCAAGAGTGCAAAATGCACTAGTGAGAACCCCCTTTTTTTTCTTTCCCTTTTGGAAAAAGGTGGTAAAGATCTTATCAGTTATATCAAAGATATTTACAATTCATTAGCAACAGTTTCAAAATTGTTGGGAGCTCTTTGAAGTATAATTTGCAACAAAGAATGCATGCATTTACAGTTAATAACAAAAAGCCTCGTGGGAGAAGATAACACTAAATCAAAATGTGGTTCATAACACCAGTGCCTAATGCTCTATGGTGATGCTTAGAAACTGATCTCCTCTCTCCTCTCCCACGTCTAGGATGATTCTTCATCTGAAGCCTGTTAGTGTAAGAAGCAGGTGGACCAGGACGCCGGATTACAACAGCTGGTGGAGGCATGTTTTCCAATATGTCTCTATGGTAAGCCTAATAGTATTCATCACAAACCACCAACATCAAAGTCCAAACCATTGAAGAGGAAATAAAACACGTGCTGAAAGACCTTTCATGTTGAGAAAAATGAGGTCAAATAGCCCCTCATACATCTCTACATATCTACTGCCCGTTTAGCACTAAAACAAATATTAAGTGCATGTTGACTTCAAAAACTAGTACGCTTTTCTAACAACTAAACACAACACACGGAAAGACGCAAATACTAACCTGTACTACAAAGTTTCGTCTTTCACAATCCATAAACATGTTAATACTCCAACCAGTTTTTGCCATTATTTTGTCTCTTACTGTCGAAAAGCTTAATTGATCCCTGGAAGTAAAGCGATCAACTTCGTTGAACCATAAGCAAGTAAAGAGATTTGTAATTGGAATGTGTTCTCTTATGATAACACACCCTTCGGGAACATCTGCAGAAACTCAGCCATAAGCAATACTTCAGATTTTTAAGATGGAGGAAGCAATTATATGCAAGCGCAGGCGCACATAATCCATTTTACATACGAAGGCATGAATATATTTAAATTGTTCCTACCACTAGTTATAGGAAGCTTGTCCCTTGAATAATGAGTTAAACCGTCGTGGAATTTATAAAATTGAATTTGGTTATCAATGGAAGCATTTTCATATTTCCCAGCAGCTTTATTTGCCTCAGCCTCAACAAATACATCAAAGCGTCTATAGTGTCTTGAAATCGCAAAAGTAGCATTTGGGCGCCACAAGAACCTGGAGGGTATGAAAGGCAATGGCAATGACAATGAAGATATTAGAAATATACACTTGCAATTTATTGTTAACATATATCCTCTTCATATATTGTGCTGTAAAATAAAACCAAATGACTAAGGTATTAAATTAAATACTATCAGTTTCGATTTAATATTATGTGATTTAATTCCTTAGCCATTGTCCTAAGGACAGTTATTAATGATGCTCAAGTTACTTGCAATGCACCAAAAGGGAAGAAAATAATGTTAAAGTCTATATTTTTTGTTCTAGTCATTACCTGCTATGGTAGGCTCATCTAGTTTAGCATAAATTTTGTCGAGAGGAAGTGTTGCGGAGAATCTACATAGTCTGCCTCAATTTTTGGGGTACGACATATATTTATTAAGCAACTACCCTTAACGCCATAGTATTAAGTTAAAATTTGATATTATATCAGTCTATAACTCTTCTTCTTAGTCATTGTCTATTCTAGTAGATATATGTCGAGAGAGGTGTTAGAGAGTCCCATATCACCTATATCAATTCTAAAAATGTAGTTTATATATTTATTAAACAACTTCCCCAGATTTAAAGTTTAAATTTAGGATGATATCAGAGTTTATAATAGTTCTTAATCATAATTCTTCTGAGAAAATACCAAGAGAGCTATTTGAAATTTCCCCTTACCATATATTATATATGATAGCATACCTTGCTAATTCTGACTGTACCACAGCCCATTGTAAAAGATATCCACAAGTACGATTGAAGTTGGAAATATATTATCACAATATCCAAAACTTGACAGATCAACATCAATGAACAAACAAAATCATATATTTTCATCAGAACATAGCTTGGAGGCAAACAATGTAATTGATCTCATATCTAATTGATGGTAAATAGAATAAATAATGACAAATAGAAATTTATCCGACTAAATACAAAAGAAATAAAAACAAAATTAACTTTTAATAAAATAGAGAGCAGAAATGGCTTTTACCTTTCAAGAACTTGATATGGGTCTACAACGAGCTGAAGCTTCCCATCAATCCATATAGAATATCGGACATTGGGGAAGATCCTGTGCAAAAGAAGCTTTGGAACCTGCAATGAGTTTAGACACATCATGACACCAAATAAAGTAAGTTCCACAAAGGAGAATGTATAAAAAAAATTTATTCAACTTCAGCAGAATATATATCTGATTATTTTGTTAATAGTTAGTGTTAGATATGATTAGATATTAGTTGATATTGTTTGATATTGTTGAGATATTGTTAGATATTGTTAATCACAATATCAAATAATATCTTTTTATTTACTCTATTTGTATTCTGTTACTCTTTTGAGGAGTACCTTTCTTTATTATAAATACACTGCCATATGTGTGGTAAATACATAAGGGAAATTAACCCTATACAGTTTTTCCCTATATTCAACATGGTATTAGAGCCAAAGCCTAACATCTTTCCGGTTATTGTCATGGGCCAAAAGTTGCCCTTTAGTTGGGTCAAAAGTACCCTTTGCCTGGTCCGGCAGGCTTCATTGGAGGGGGGTGTTGAAAGTCCCACATCGCCTACCTCATATCATTTGGTATGGTTTAAATACATGTTAGGCTACTCCACATATAGCCAATTGGTTTTATGTTGGCACAGTTATGGAGTCTCCTTCTCTCCTTCATGCTCAGCTTGGTCACCCCAGTCTGCGCAAATTACAGCAACTTGTTCCCAGCTTATCCCAGTTGTCCAATTTGGTGTGTGAGTCCTGTCAGTTAGGCAAACATAGTCGTACTTCCTTTTCTCGTAGTGTTTCCCGACGTGCTTCATCCCCTTTGCCTTAGTTCACTCGACATTTGGGGACCCAGATCGTGTTAAGTCTAATTTAGGTTTTCAATATTTTGTTACTTTTATTGATTATTTCTCTCGTTGTACTTGGTTATTTTTAATGAAAAATCGTTCGAGTTGTTTTCTATATTCCAAAACTTTTATCATGAAATTAAAAATCAATTTGGTGTCTCTATTCAAACTTTTCGAAGTGATAATGGCCGTGAATATCTTTCAAACTCGTTTAAACAATTTATGGCTTCTCATGGCATTCTTCATCAAACTTCCTGTGCTTATACCCCTCAACAAAATGGGGTGGTCGAGCGCAAGAATAGACACCTTATTGAAACAACCCGTACTCTTTTAATTCATGGTGAGGTTCCTCAACATTTTTGGGGTGATGTCGTTCTTACTGCTCTGTTATCTTATTAATCGTATGCCCTCTTCGGCTTTAGATAACAAAATTCCCCATTCTATTTTATTTCCTCATGACACTCTCCATCCTTTACCTCTCGAAGGTTTTTGGGTCTACCTGTTTTGTCCACAATTTTGATCCTGGTCATGATAAGTTATCTCCTCGATCACACAAATGTGTTTTCTTAGGATTTACTCGATCACAAAAAGGATACAAGTGTTTTTCTCCTTCTCTTAATCGCTATTTTGTGTCTGCCGATGTCACCTTCAATGAGTTTTCCTTTTACTTTAAGGACCCTTCCCTACCCGTCGAGTCTCCATCTCGCTACAGTTCTCATTCCCTGTTCTCATTGATCCTTATGTTGAGGACCATCCACCATTAGCCCCTCCTCCTCCACCACCCCTTCGGGTTTATAGTCACGGACCTCGCCCACAACAGACGCCACATGACTCACTCCCAATGCCAAATACTCGCCTCCTCCGGCTCCGTCCACGTAGTCCGACCTTCCTATTGCCCTTCGTAAAGGTACGCGTTCTACTCGTAATCCTTCTCCACATTATACCGCTTTAAGTTATCATCGAATTTCTTCACCATTTTATACCTGTCTCTCGTCTATTTCTTCTGTGTCTATTCCTAAATCTGCTCTCGAAGCCTTAGCCCACCCTGGTTGGCGTCAGGCCATGCTAGATGAACTCGGTGCTCTTCGGACTAGTGGAACCCGGACGCTTGTCCCATTACCATCCTGGAAAATCTGTTGTTGGTTGCAGGTGGGTCTTCGCTATCAAGGTTGGTCCTGATGGTACTATTGATCGCCTCAAAGCTCGCCTTGTAGCCAAAGGCTATACCCAAATTTTTGGGTTGGATTATGGTGATACTTTCTCTCCAGTAGCAAAGATGGCTTCGTTCGTTTATTCATTGCCATGGCCGCTATTCAACAATGGCCTCTTTATCAACTCGGATGTCAAAAATGCTTTCTTGAATGGCGATTTGCAAGAAGAGATTTATATGGAGCAACCTCCTGGATTTGTTGCTCAGGGGGAGTCTTCTGGATTGGTATGTCGTCTTCGCAAATCTTTATATGGCCTAAAACAGCTCTCCTAGGGCCTGGTTTGGAAAATTTAGCAGCCGTTGTTCAACAATTTGGCATGACTAGAAGTGAGGCGGACCACTCGACCTTTTACCGTCACTCGAATGCTTGATGTATCTATTTGATAGTGTATGTCGATGACATTGTTCTTACAGGTAGTGACCATCATGGCATCTCTCGGATGAAACAACACCTTTGCCACCATTTTCAAACCAAAGATCTTGGCAAACTCGGATATTTCTTGGGTATTGAGGTAGCACAATCTACCGATGGCATTGTTATATCTCAAAGAAAGTATGCATTGGATATTTTGGAAGAAACTCGGGTTGATGAATTCAAAGCCTGTTGACACACCCATGGATCCTAATACCAAACTCTTGCCAAATCGGGGGAGCCAATGTCAGATCCTGAACAAGATAGAAGATTAGTTGGAAAATTAAATTATCTTACAGTTACTCGCCCGACATTTCCTTTGCGATCAGTGTGGTGAGTCAATTCCTCAATTCTCCTTGTCAAGATCATTGGAATGCAGCTCATCCGTATATTGAAGTACATCAAAAAGTCTCCTGGAAAAGGTTTGGTGTATGACTCCCATAATCATACAAGAGTTGTCTCGCTATTCGGATGCCGATTAGGCAGGATCTCCTCTCGATAGAAGATCTACATCTCGGGTATTGTGTTTCCATTGGTGGTAACTTGATCTCATGGAAAAGTAAGAAACAAAGTGTTGTGGCAAGATCCAGGTGCAGAAGCAGAGTATAGAGCTATGGCCTCGCCTACCCGTGAACTTATTTGGCTCACGCAATTGCTTAAAGAGCTACAATTTGGAGATGTCACTCAAATGACACTAGTGTGTGACAATCAGCCGCTCTCCATATAAGCTCTAATCTCGTCTTTCATGAGAGGACTAAACACATTGAGATTGACTCGCCATTTTATTCTGGAAAAGATTATGTCCGGAGACATCAAGACTGAGTTCGTTAACTCATGTGATCAATTAGCAGATATTTTCACTAAGTCTTTACTGGGACCTAGGATGGATTATCTTTGTACCAAGCTTGGCACATACGATTTGTATGCTCCAAGCTTGAGGGGGAGTGTTAGATATGATTAGATATTAGTTGATATTGTTTGATATTGTTGAGATATTGTTAGATATTGTTAATCACAATATCAAATAATATCTTTTTATTTACTCTATTTGTATTCTGTTACTCTTTTGAGGAGTACCTTTCTTTATTATAAATACACTGCCCTATGTGTGGTAAATACATAAGGGAAATTAACCCTATACAGTTTTTCCCTATATTCAACAGTTAGTTAAGAGAGTAAAGAGAATGAAAAGAAGATTTCTAATTTTGTGGGATGCTTACTCCACTCTATGATCTCATATATATATAGGATTACAACATTTAATACAACTACCAACTACTAACAACCACCAACCACCAACTACTAACTACTAACCACTAACCACTAACTAATAATAATTCTAACACTCCCCCTCAAGCTGGAGCATACAAATTGTATGTACCAAGCTTGGAACAAATAAATTCAATTCGAGGTCCTCTTAAAGACTTTGTCAACACATCTGCAAGTTGATCATTGGACCCGACAAATTCAGTGCAAATTTCTTTAGACAACAATTTTTCACGAATAAAATGACAATCAAGTTCTATATGTTTGGTCCTTTCATGGAACACCGGATTAGAGGCAATGTGGAGAGCTGCTTGATTGTCACAATACATCTTCATTTGTTGGATCTCACAAAATTTCAGTTCTTGAAGGAATTGTTTCACCCACACTAGTTCACAAGTGAGAGATGTCATTGCTCTATATTCAGACTTCAAGCACTAGACCAGGCCACTACATTTTGTTTCTTACTTTTCCAAGAAATAATATTGCCTCCAATGAGAACACAATATCCTGTAGTGGAGCGTCTGTCCATAGGGGATCCAGCCCAATCAGCATCACAATACCCAGATATTTGGGTACCCCCTTTATCTTCATACAACAGACCTTGTCCTGGAGCTTTTTTGAGATATTTTAGGATGTGAACGACAGCATTCCAATGATCAGTACGTGGATTTTGCATAAATTGACTCACAACTCCAACGACAAAAGATAGGTAAGGTCTGGTAATGGTGAGATAAATGAGTTTCCCAACAAGTCTTCTATATCTCTCAAGATCAGAGAGCGGTTCACCTTGATCCGCCATTAATTTCTGATTTGGATTCATAGGGTTGTTTACTGGTCTACAATCAATCATACCTGTTTCTTTCAGGATATCTAAAGCATACTTTCTTTGGGAGACTACGATGCCTTCTTTTGATTGAGCCACTTCAATCCCTAGAAAGTATTTGAGACAACCAAGATCCTTAGTTTGGAAGTGATTGCATAAATGTTTCTTTAGCAAATAAATTTTATCAACATCATCCCATGTAATGACTATATCATCTACATATACAATTAAATAAACACATTTTCCTGAAGCAATATAATAAAAAACAGAATGATTAGTTTCACTTCGTTTTAATCCAAAACTTTGAACAATGTGACTAAACTTTCCAAACCAAGCACGTGGAGATTGTTTGAGACCATAGAGAGAACGATGTAACTTACAAACCAAACTAGACTCCCCCTGAGCAACAAAACCAGGAGGTTGCTCCATATAAATTTCCTCCTCAAGATCACCATGCAAGAATGCATTCTTGATATCTAACTGATGAAGAGGCCAATGACGGATAGCTGCCATAGTAAAGAAAAGTCGAACAGTAGTCATTTTGGCCACAGGAGAAAAAGTATCACTGTAGTCAAGGCCATAGATCTGAGTATAGCCTTTTGCTACTAATCTAGCTTTGAGTCGATCAACTTCACCTTTTGGTCCAACTTTAATGGCATAGACCCAACGATAACCAACAGTCTTCTTCCCATGTGGAAGAGGAATTAAGTTCCATGTACCATTGTGCTCAAGAGCCTGCATTTCATCAATCATGGCTTGTCGCCATCCAGGATGATCAAGTACCTCTTTCACATTTTTTGGAATAGTAATAGTGGATACAGAAGAAACAAAAGAAAAATAGGAAGGAGACAATCTATGGTCGCTAAGAAAATTGTAAATGGGATGTGGATTACGAGTAGAGCGAGTACCTTTGCGAATGGCAATGGGCCAACTTGAATCATCATTATCAGGAATCGTGGTATCAGGGGATGATTGAGAAGGATCTGCTGAGGAAGACTCATCTTGGGACATGGGACTGATCATTTGGCTCCTGTGTTGATAGGTAATAAGAGGCAGTGATGAGGATTCCGGTGTATTTTGTGTGGAATTTTGGGTGTCAGGAGGAGAAGGTACAAATGGTTCCACTAAGGGTATAGGTAGGACATTTTGGACCGAACTAATATTTTGCATAGAAGAAGGGAAGAAGGGAGTTAACTCAAAAAAAGTGACATTAGCAGACATGTAGTACCTCTTGGTTTCAGGAGAATAACATCGATATCCTTTTTGAAGACGAGAATATCCCAAGAAGACACATTTGATGGCTCTAGCTAATAGTTTATCTAATCCTGGAGACATATCATGAACAAAACATACGCAACCAAATACATGAGGAGAAACATGAAAGAGTGGGTCATTTGGCAATAGAATAGAGTGTGGAACTTTATTGTTAAGAGAAGAAGATGGCATTCTGTTAATGAGAAAACATGCAGTAAGAATAGCATCTCCCCAATGATGAACGGGCATATTTCCACCAAGTAATAAGGTACGGGCAGTTTCAACCAAATGTCTATTTTTTCGTTCTGCTATACCATTTTGTTGTGGTGTGAGGACAAGTAGACTGGTGTAAAATGCCTTGGGAGCTTAAGAGAGTAGAGAAATCAGTAGAAAAGTATTCTTTGGCATTATCACTTCGTAAAACTTTGATTACTTTTCCAAATTGATTTTTGATTTCGTTAAGGAAAGACTTAAAGATAGGTAATAATTCAGAACGGTCTTTCATTAGATAAATCCAAGTACACCTAGAAAACTCATCAATGAAGGTAACAAAATATCTATAGCCAAAGGATGAGACATGACTAGGACCCCAAATATCAGAATGAACAAGAGAAAAGACAGAGTCACATCTAGATTCAGAACGTTTAGGAAAAGAGGACCTAGTATGTTTCCCTAGTTGACATGATTCACATTCAAAATCTTGAAGAGTCTGAAGTTCAGGAACCATTTTTTTTAATCTTGATAAGTGAGGGTGCCCTAACCGTTCGTGTAATAGTTTTGGAGACAAGGATGCAACACAAGATACAGATGATTTAGTCTCAAGGTAGTATAAGCCTCCAGATTCATGTCCTTCGCCAATCTGTCAACCCGTACCACGTTCCTGTATAACAAAAGAGTGGGCATTAAAGGTTACTGAACAATTCAATAATTTGGTTAATTGACTTAGGGAAATGAAACTGAAGGGACATGAAGGAACAAAAAGAACAGATTTTAAGTTTAAAGACGGAGAAATGGAGACTTGACCAGTTCCTTTAGAGGCTACTTTAGATCCGTTGGCTAAGGTTATGAGATGAGGAGTTTTAGGAAATGAGAGAGAAGAGAACAAAGAGGTATTACCAGACATGTGATCAGAAGCACCTGAGTCAATAATCCATGGATTTTGACTTTCCACAGATTGTGAAATGCAAGCTGTTGATGAATTTGGGGTTGTTGATGACTGTGCTAGATTACTGGATTTCAACCTCAAATATTCCTGATATTCTTTGTGAGAGAACTTGGGTTCAACCATTTCAGAATTTGAAAAATTGACAGTTTTATTAGGAAAACCGTGCAAAGAGTAGCAATTTTCCACTGTATGACCCATTCTCTTGCAATGAGTGCACTGAGGACGTCCTCTACCTCCACGTCCTCCTCTAGTGCCGCGACTTCCTCTTCCATGGGTAGAAATCATAGCAGAAGATTCAACAAGTTCTTGATTATTTTTTTCTTTGAAAGTTGGAACACGAAGCAGTCTTGTAGTCAAACTTTCCATAGAAGGAACTTCTTGTCCAGTTAAAATTTGATCTCTAACATGATCAAATTCTGAATTCATAGCTCGGAGAGTCATAACCATATAGAATTTATCCAACTTTTGCTTTATCTCCTCTAACGAATCCACCTCTAGGAACATCTTTAATTCTTTAACTGCTGATTGAGCTTCAGCAATAAAGGTCATCATATCTTTATCCACTTGCTTGAGAGAGGCTAATCGATTAGCGGAATCATAGAGGCGTTGGATATCATTTGCGAAGATATTCTGAGCTTTTTTCCAGAAAGAGTTACATGTTTTGAAGGATCTGAGAGTGTTCAAAATATTTGGTTCTACTGATTGCCACAGTAGAGCACAGAGTTGATAATCAAGTTTTTTCCATTGTTGAGTCTGATCTTCTGGTATCTTACTTCCGTCTTCTTCTAGATGATCGTGAAACTCTTGTCCAAGGAACCAAAGTTCCACTGAAGAGGACCAAGACATGTAATTTTTTCCATTTAATTTTTCAGCCGTTATCGTGGGAGTTCCGGAAAAGGAGGTTGTGGGCCCTGACGACATGTTTTAAATAATGTAGATGTAAGATGGAGACAATGGAACCTGTAAGAAAGAGAACACCCAAGATAGCCGGAAGGTTACTGGAAGATGGTCGGAAAGTCGTCAAACGGCAGCAAAAAAAAAAAAAAAAAAAGGTGACTGGACGGGGGACTGACGGTTGCCGAAAAGTGACCGGAAAGTGGCCGGACGGTGGCCGGAAAGTGGCAGGACGGTGATCGGAAAATGACCGGACGGTGATCGGAAAATGATCGGACGGTGACCGGAAAATGGTCGGACGGTGACCAGAAAATGGTCGTACAATGACCGGAAAATGGCCGGACATTGACCGAAAATGGTCGGACGGTGGCCGGACAGGCAGAGCAGGACCAACCTGCTCTGATACCAAGTTAAGAGAGTAAAGAGAATGAAAAGAAGATTTCTAATTTTGTGGGATGCTTATTCCACTCTATGATCTCATATATATATAGGATTACAACATTTAATACAACAACTACCAACTACTAACAACCACCAACTACTAACTACTAACCACTAACCACTAACTAATAATAATTCTAACATAGTTCAAAAAAAAGAAATAATTCAGAATTCCTTGTCACAATGTTTTTCAACCAATTTACCTTTCCTTTTCCAGCTTTCCTAACAAGTTTCCATTAGATTTAAGAATTCATAACACCAATTAGGGACAGAACAGTCACCATTTGCAATCAAATACTACATGATATTTAAATATATCAAAAAAGCTATTCCTCAAGTTTAGGGCATGGAAGTCTCAACTCTTTGCTAATTTAATGATGATCTGTATACTTGCTCCAGAACAAAAAACCATCTCATTGTACATACACAGGTAGGTAGCACCAAAACCAACCTCTGCAATTAGTTTGGACTCTGGAGTAAGAGGCTCATAAGCTAAATCTCTCAACAACAATTCTATTCACTCTGATTAATGTGTTATTAATAGTGTATCAACTAGTAAAATCATTTCCCCAATCATAAAACATGGTGAAATGTGAAAGAAAATGGAAACAAACATAAAGAAGGGGCTGAGGTTAGTCCAAAAATCAGAAGCTTCAATTAAAAAGTGGGACTGTGTCTAGAAATTACAAAATATCTGCTGAAAATGGTACACAACTTACAAGAAAAGTGGATGATATTTTTATAATAATAAATAGTGAGAAGCAAAAAGTAAGCAATCAACCTTTCCGTTACGTCGAGAATCAGCGTAAGGAATATTATGGACAACAATGATTCTCCATAATCCAACTCTCCTGCTGCTACTCAAAATGCTGGCATTCTTCATATACATTTCTGTTTCTTCATCAATGAACATATAGAAAGGAATATTTTTCTTTCCTTTTGAACTGATGTTCCTGGGCTGCTGTATAACATCATAATTTCCTGGCAAAGATGGAAGGGAGGAGCTATGTGAAGCAGAAAACAAACACGAAGATACAACTCTGTAGCGCATTAGTCATAAGCCATACCAAATATGGCAGAAGCAACAATGACATCATGATACTTATCCAACTCTATGAGATCTGCCTCGTCAAAATCAAATCCTGTCCAGCGACCAGGTCTGTTTCCTTTGACAAATCTGATAAGAGTTTATGCCAATGTAGGAAAAGAAATAAAAATACATTCAGTAAACAAAACACTAATACATGTGGAACACTAATTTGGTGACTTTCAAAACTTGTTCCAGGAATATTAATCTCCTGGTGTGAGAAAATTAAATACAAATAACAAAATGAACTAACCCACAGTGCACTTTCATGGTCTCTTTTATATCAAAAGCAGCATCCCTTTCTTCGAGAGAAGTGTATCCTCCAAAATCAGAGCCACCATGTTGTTCACTTTCAATTGGATTTTCATCATGCACATATGTCAAAGAACGAAGTATAGGAGATTTTGATGGGGAACTTGGCATACTAGCTATAGCTTGCTCTACTGGAATATAACACACAGGGCATGCTGAAAAAGAAGAGGGAAAGAACCCAATTAACAGAATTCTACAAGGACAAAAACTAAATCTACAGTGTGTAAATGAAAAGAAGATGCCATTAGTCAGATTCAAGATAGATATAATTGTTTGAGTTAAGAATTGAAAACAATGCCAAATAAAAAAAAAAAAAAAAAAAGCCTTACGGCGTGGTCCAGTTCGTCTTCTATCAGCTGGTGGAGGAGGAAATGCAAAATGATCACAACGATGTCCCCGAGTAAGAAAATATTCCCTTTTGCCTTTAGGCTTGGACAAGGACAATGAATTAGGAGCAGGAGGAGGCCTAGATGTGCTTCTATATCTACTTTTCAATGAGAACGCTGTAGAAGAATTACTATCTTGTGACTTATCCTCGACTACTCCTCTGGGTCTTAAAATTTCATACCTAGTAATAGCGTAAGTTCGCGTATCTTCAATTTCACTAGTGATGTTTCCACCTAGTTCATCATAATATCAAAATACATCATAAAACATACAGATTTTATATTGCAGAAAATTGAAACGCTACGAAGATACAAACCCAGGCATATAAAGACCAGGGAAAGTCCTAAATCAAAACACGATACCTCAAAATAATGTCTTAACTCTCAACCGATATAACTTCAAATTTAGAAAGAAAAACAAAACAATTGAGCAAACAAGACATGAATTAGCAGTGCCAGAAAGATCAAAACTAAAACAAATTTTACTATCGCTTATATATATCAAGTACAAAAATTTATAAGATCAAAGTATCATTGAAATGATACCAAGCCCAAATTATATAGTACATCATATTACTTCCTCAATCCCACAATGACAACAGATTTAGCCTTCTAAAAGATTCCAAAATTGATCATGTTCCAACCTTTGTAGAATTGAAGTTTTTTTTTTCTAATTTATCCTTAAATTAATATTCTCTCTATCTTAATAAAAGTCATGGATTTATTGAAAAAGAGTAATAGATTGAATGGATGAGAAATGTTTAGACCGTAATATATTTTTATAGAGAATTTTAAGTGTTTTGTGTTTAAATATGTTCTTGGATAATGAATTTTATAAAATATTGAAACTCTGGAAATTTATGAAAGTAATTTGATTACTTAAAAATTAGATAATTCCAAAATTTGCATAAAAAGTAATCATTTGAAATTATTCATATTTTCTCTTCTCTCAAATCTATGTTTCTTTTCTTTACACTCTGTCATTAATTTAGCCTTAATCAAGACATCGTCGCCTCTAGTAAAACCCAAATGTCGTCGACAATACTAAAACAGAAAATTCATTGATTTGTGTGAGAGTAGAACATAGTCACCTAGAAATTGTTTTTTTCAACTGAAGTCGACAAGGGTTTCTTTCAAACTAAACTTGACCGTGGTTATTTTCTCACCTAAATAATCGGAGTTAATTCTATGTTGATGTAAACCATTATTACCTTTAAGTCGATGTTAATTAGAGTTTTTTATTCAATATTTTTTTTTTTTTTTTGCTAATGTTAAACATTTTTTTTCAATTGACATCAATTGGTTTTTTTTTCAATTTTATGGTGAACAATTTGTTTTTCACTCACTCTCAATCAAAGACATTTTTTGGCCAACATAGGTCAAGATTATTTATCGATCAATGTTAGTCAAGTTTTCTCGAGCTACATTGGCAACTTATTTTTTGGCCGATGTTAGTCAAGTGTTTTGTATGGAGACTATTTTTTTACCATTGTAAGTCAAGGTTTTTTAATCAACATGTGCTTGGTTGACACAGTTGGGATTATTTTCCTGCCAATGTAGGCCAAGATTATTTGTGAGTGGACATTGTCAAGTTTTCTCAACCAAAATCAACCGAGTCTGTTTTCCATGGTGTTGAAAATTTTAGGGTTTTTGTGTATATGTATTTTTTATATATGAGATTATATGATATGGTAGAATTTTTCTCTTATGTGTATATTTTATTATGTACTTTATGTATATGTAAAGTAAAAATATAACAAAATACCAAATATTAATAATATCTCAATCATAATTATTTAAATCAAAATAATAACATAATATGTTTTTCTCTTATTTTAAACAATATAAAAATAACTTAATACCTAATTTAAATAAAAAATATTAAAACAATATTTCTAACTTTTCTCTTTATTTTAATATTTATTTATTTGAATTTTATATTTTTTTCTATTCTTATTTTTTGCCTCCTCTTTTGTTTGTAATTTTCTCTTTCTCTTGTAAGAGATCATCTCTTTTGTTTGTAATTGTCTCACTATCACGTTTTTTCATTGCAATTACTGGCAAATAAACTTGTTTCTTAGCATGATATTTCTTCTTATAAGATTTCTCTTTTGTCCATAATGTCTTCCACTTAGCCCCTAATATGTTGGAATTTGCTTTCTTAATCTCATTACATTTGTCTTTCATCCACAAAATATAATATGGAGAAAACATTCTTTTCTTAGAACACTCAATCTTCTTGCCTTTCTTTATTTTATTGTCTTTCAAAACAAACAAATTTATGATAAGTTTAAACTCCTTCAACTTCTCGAATTTTTTCATCTCAGCCTTAAGTTTCTTTTGTTCACAATCATAGTTTTCGAGCTCTTCATCATTCTACTTAAGAGCCTCTTCTTTAGCATTCAAATGATCTTTGGTCTTTTTCTTCACAAGGCCCATATATTCTAACATTTCCTGCATCTCAAACAATTCTTTCTCATAAGATTGTTATTTATTGGAGTCTTGTTTCTTAACAATGATGTTGCCCTGGTTAGGGTTGATGGGTTTTTCTCCTTTATGGCTCTTTTGTCCCTCTTTGTGCGTATTTCATATTCTTCTTTCAAATAATCTCATATTTCTTTGGGTAACTTTAGGATTATGATTTTAATGAGAATCATTTGTGAAATACCTGCATACAAACATGACTTTGTTTTTGTCTTCCTCATTTTTCTTTTCTTTTGAATTTTGATTTGGCTATGGTGAGATTTTCAACCAATGGATCAACAATGCAATCTTCTTCCAGATCTTCAAATAAATTTAGCCCTTCAAGATAAGATTGCATTCTCATAGCCTATAGATCATAAATTTCACCATCAAAAAGTGAAATAGTGACTTGGGAAAGACTTATTACTCTTTTCATTATTCACGTAAGAACCAAAGCTCTTAATATTAGTGTTAGGAATTTTAGAATTTTTGTGTATATATATTTTTGATATATGATGTATATGAGATTATATCATATTGTAAAGTTTTTCTCTCATATCTATATATTTTATTCATCTGCTTTATGCATGTAGAGTAAAAATATGACAAAATATCAAATATTAACAATATCTTAGTTATAACTACTAAATCATAATAATAACATAATATATTTTTCTCTTATTCTAAAGAATATAAAAATCTCCAAATACCTAATTTAAATAAAAATAAATATTAAAGCAATATTCCCAATATATGGATGTGAACTTGACTTTATTGATTAATGTCCAATTGTTAGAACCAGAAATAATTGTGACTCAAGGAAATATTGAGAGTAAATGTGTTATTCATCAGAAAACAAAAGGTGGCTTATATAAGCCTTCATACAACAGAAATGAATCAAAGAACCACGTACTACATGACAACAAAACAGGAATAAAAGAAATTTTAGAACTTCCCTTGAAAATAAGACTTATTAACAAACACGTTAAATAACAAATATTGACTAAGCATTCCCTCCTTTAAGGTATATGCATCTGCAATTAGTTTGCTTCAGTGGCCTTCATTACTCCAAGCATGTTTCGATAGTCAAAGTTTCTTATTTAATGTGTTTGTTAGTAAGTCCTATTGAGGGAAGTTCTATTTTTTAGGACAGTTTCTTTAATTCTTGTTTTGTTGTCATAGAAGACGTGACTCTTTGGTTCATTTTCATTTTTTGTGTGTCGTGTGAAGGCTTATATAAGTTTTCTTATGAATAAGACATTCACTCTCAATATTTCTTGAGACGTAATTATACCTGGTTCTAACATGTCTATCATGGTCAATTTTTGTCGATGTTAGCAAGGACTTTTTTTCAATCAACGTCACCAATGTTATTTCTTTTTCCGAAGTTAGTCGGAAATTTGTTCTAATGTCAACTAAAAAACTTTTGGTCAACCTTGACTAGGATTGTATGTCAACTAGGAGAATATTTCACACAACTGTGAGTTGAACCCAACCAACAACATAAAAAAATTAACTTTGATCGATGTTAGCAACTACTAATAATAAAATAAACCTGTTGTATTTGGTGATAATTCAAAACTCTACTTAAAAAAATCAATAAATTTAAATTATCTTATACAAAGCATTTAAAATAAAACAATTTGAATTGAAAATAATTTACATTCTATCTATTTTAATTTCCTTGAAATTGTGAAGTTGCATAGTCAATCACACTCTGAGACTATTTTAGTTAAATTGTTTCAAAGTGACACTTTTTGTTGTTCGTAATATGTGCAAAAGAAATTTAAATTCCAGCCATCGCAACACGGAGAGAGTATATTCCTACATGCAAAGTGAAAGTGTCTTTCAAGGTTTAAAAATTTATTCCCAAAAATGTGAACTTTGGAATGGAATATTTCCATGTTGTTTATTATTTATTAGCTTTGAAAAATTATTCTTATGAATGTGTTTGTTTCAAAGAATAAAGTTTTTTTTCTGCATAAGGAATAAAGATTTATTCCTGGGGATATAATTTTAATGTTTGTAATGAGTTTTAAAAATTTATTTCCATGTATTGTTCATGTATGAGAAAGTAACAATACTTTATTTTTGCTTCATTTTTTATCTCATGATGAGGAGTGGGAAAGTTATAATCTGTAAGGAATGTGGGATTTATTTTTCAATCTAATTATTATTTCCATTATATTCTTAGCTTTATTCTAATCATTTTGAATTTTGAAAATATTTCTAGGAATATTAACAAAACCGTTGTTTTAAATGTTTTTAGGAATACTATTACTATTAATAATATTCTTAGAGATGTGATTCTAGGAGATGTAATATTTTACCCTTAAACAAACACCCTTTGAGTATTGATCATGTCCTACAAAGTATAAGTATATATGTGGTATTTTCCTTCATGTTTATTCCCATGGTGAAAGATGAAAAAGTTATCTAACCCAATCACAACATACTCCTCCGTTTCATAATAATTACAGTCTTAGCTATCTAAAATAACTTCAAACTACAATCATTATGGAACAGAACCATTATGAGAAGAAATACAATTCTTCTCTTACTTTTCATTCTAATCAATTTGAATTTTAAATAATATTCCTAATATAATTAAATTCAACCAAACTTATTCTTGAATTTACTCAAAATAAAATTAAGGACAAGTAGATAAATATGTGCTGTTTTCAGTACTATTTTCCTATCAAAATTGGAATTTTACTTTCTAGTAGAGAATTTCATTAAATGTCTGATTCAAATACCGCACCAACCGTACCCATCTGCACTACTTTATCTAAGTTTTGACCTAAAATTAATTAATGGTTCTAATATTCCTAGAAATGTCATTGGCATAAATCTAACATTATTATATCTTGAAACGGATGTCAAGAATTCCAACAACTCAACACAGAGTATCTATAATAAGCAATTGCAGTCCAGAGTGAATAAGGATTAAGGAGAAATTATCATACTTTCCACCACTATAATGGTCTCATCCAAATTTCACGGTATCATTAATTATTTCTTGTAAATTTAGAAAATGTGAATACAAAGGTAGAACTTGGCCTCTATCATAGACATGTTTGGTTTCAAACCATTTAATCATCACTACTCGTTGCTAGCTCCATTTCATTTTATCTGTTATTAAGAAAAGTAATAAATCAATTAATGATTAGAAAAACTTTATTACAATGTCTTCGAATTTTTTTCTATGTTCATTCTTAATTGTTACGCAATCTAGCAAACAATAATTACATGCTAACACAACATGAAACATTGATAAAGTGAAAAGGAAAACGGAGAATATGAAGTGTATTAACTAACCTTTGTAAACAGTAAAACAGCCAAAAACGAAAACACAAAGGCCAAGGGCAAAGATGAGGAGCATTCCGACCTTGCCTCGCCCAAGGAGCCGGCAAATAGAAAAGAAACCCCTCTCTTTCTCTCTGGGGTTGTAGAGGAGCGTTTTTGAAGGTCTACGCACAAGCATGGGCACAAAAACGTTGCTGTTTTGCAGCGTTCCATAGCTCCCCGTGCGTACACCCAATGACACCCCACTCATCCTTCAATACCATCACCTTCCACAACTCTCCCCTCTCTGCTACTACTTCCCAATTGGCCCAACCCCTTTTCTCCACAATATCAGATTATTGTAATGATACTAACAATAATCAACAATCGATGATAATTAATAATAGTTACAACACCCGCCAAGTGACAACAACCTCAATCTCTTCACATCACGTTGTTTCGGACCCGTTCCAGGGTTCGCGATTCGTTTGGGAAGCTGCATTCACCTGGGCGCGCGTGGCTATCAAAAACGGGACATTGATCGGAGGAAAGTGGGGGTAGGACGGGGAATGTTGGAAACGACGACGTCGGGAGCGTCGTCGGCGCTGTGGCGGTGGTGGTGGCGAGGTGGAATCGGAGATTGGAAATGGGAATGTGAAACAGTGGAATGTGATTACGGAGGGAGGAGAGGATTGGAGATGGATTGAGGCGTAGCGTGGATGGAGGGAAGACGCAATACCCACTTTTACAAGAGGAGGTAGACGCACGCGGGATTTTTCATGGGCCCCTGGCCCAATTCAACGTCCCTCAAAAAACAAAAGTCCAAGGATAGCTTTTGAGGGCACATTTTTCCTGCATTTTTGTATTTTCTTTCTACACCCCATTATCTATGTTAAATGACAAAAATGTCTTATATATTTTTAATTTCCACATGTATCTTCATCATTCAACACCTCCTTTCTTTTGTGCTACAAGAAACACAGTCACTAGTGGAGTTTGGGAGGTGAGGGTAACACCCTTTAAAATTTTGTAATTTGTAAGGGTTTAGGATTTTAATTTCTATAAACTTAATAACTATTAAATATATTTATTTATATATTTTATCTTTTATTATTTTTTATTTTTTCATATTTTTATATTTTTTTAATAATATATTATTTGACTCTTTAATATTAATTGATGCTTCACCCGTTGTTGATGGAAGTGATTAAGCATCTAGTGTAGAGGCAAGTCGTGGAACAAATGTTGGAAGAGGACGAAAGGATCACATAGTGAAAGTGCAAGGCATGAAGGGAAGTGAAAAAAAAATGCAATGAATCCATGGATGACCTAATATATAATATTATTCTAAATATACTCTTCTAAAAAAAATTGAAATGAATTAAAAAAAAAACTCCTGGATTAACCATTTTGAAATCTTTCCAAAATCAACTTTTTCATTAATATTTCAAATAACTGATTCCATAACTCTTTTGGAGAACTTTCAATAAGGTTAATTTAATAAATTTTCAAAAACTTCATAATCTTTTTGGATTGACCATTCTAAAGTTTTCTAGAAACATTTCGAAATCAAATTTTCAAAAAATTTCCCAATTAATCTTTTTAAAAGCTTTTTGGAAGTGTTCTAAAATCAGCTTTCCAGAATTTTTTGGAAAGTTTTCAGAAAACTTTTAGAAAGATGAATCTAAATTTTTTTCAAAATGAATTCTTCGAAACCTAATTATATTAAGGATAATAGTATTATCATTTTATATGAATATGGGATGTGGGGTGCGGGAAGAAACACCCCTTTTGAGTCGTGAGAATGGCCCATTTACTCACGCAAACCAAGACATTGTGTTTTGGTATTAGAATGATGTAAATGGCATGTTTTTTGGTGTGGTGGTTTCAGGATTGCTAAATTAGCAGTAGTAATTTTGATACTTTTACATGTACTTATTTTTATAAGATGTATTGTTCTGATACGCACACGATTCTCACGAGTAGTTTCTAATTAGAAGGAACAAGTATAAAATGTTACATTTTATAAGATGTTTGTATATATAATACAATCATATTTTATCATTTATATTTTGTTATCATAATATTGGTATTAATTATTTATTATGGAAAATAAGATATTAAAGATAACATTTATTGAATAAGTGTTTATTATGTAAAATATAAGTGGTTATAAGAGAAAATAAATATGAAAGTATTTCATATATTATCACATTCTTGTTATTTACGTAACACTTTTTTAAAAAATATAAAAGGGAGAAGAAAACTGAAAACAAACGTCATCCAAACTAGGTTAGATGGAACTGAAAATAATTATGTTGATGTATAGGTCAACTTCAATAACCCAATGATTGATTTACCTTGCGTGTAAACTGGTTAATAGAACACTAATCTAGTTTAAAGGGATTGAAAAGTACGAGAACGATGCAATTATGCATGAATAATTTTTAGAAAACCCTACTATTTGAAAATGGGTTCGTTATGAACACTAGTATAAGAATGGTGTAGACTTTTTTGCGTAAGACTTAAAAGGGTGGGTTAAAGTTTACCAAATTTGGATGTAAAGTTAAGTGCTACCAACCATAGTAATTACTAGTTAGTTCCATAAAGCCATTGTCGCTTTTCAAAAGGTAAACCTAACTTGTTTTCAGTTTTCTTCTCTTCTTTCATGTAATCCATATAGTTATACAAAAAAGTACAATGTTGATTCATATAATCGACATAATTACACAAAAAGTACACATGAACTTGTAATGCAAAAAAAAATAAAAAAATAAAGAATAATAAAAAGTTGAGACAAGTTTGTGTTCCAACCAAGAAAGATAACTTTTTTGACTTGATGAAAAAACTTCCACTTGTGCAAATGATTTGGGCATGGCTAGTGGTGGTGAAAAGGGTTAGACATTTTTTCTGGTGAATGCAGGGTTTTGATTTGAGGAGTGTGAAAAACCCACTTAGCTGAATTGCTAATCATAAGCTTAGTTGAAAAACATGGTTATCCAATTCAACTACACCATTTCCAACAATAAATGCCAAACATGATTCATATCACCATCATAATTTTGACATGGAAGAATCTCTTGCCTAACCATTAGTCTTTTGGAAGCTAATGATGCTCTTTTAAGACCCACCTAATTCAAATTCCTTTTTATAATTGCATGTGGTTTATTTCTATTCTTGGTTTTGGCATCTCCATTGGTGTAAGTATAAATGCGTTTGTTCATTTAATTAGAGTGGTTGCAAATTGATGTGGAAAGCAATCAAAGTGTTTTGATCACTTTATTGTTTTGGTTTTGAATAACTTAATTAAGTCTTTCTATGGTTATTGTATATATAATTTGTTTTTATATAAGGAAAGTACATTATCTTTCTAAATAAATTAGTTTTTGTTCAGTATACTTATTTAAATATAGTATTCTTTTTATTTGAGTGTTGGAAATATCGTAGATGAGTATTTAATTTTTAATAAATAAATTATTTTAAGTTATTTTAAAGTTAGAACTTAAAATCTGATTTATTGATTTCTTGAATCTAATCTTACCTCCTTAAAAAAAATCATGTTATCAAAATTTAAAATTATTATTTTAAATTCTATTAATTGTTAGAAATAATTGAAATTTACTTATTGAACTAGTACCCAATTCAAGGTTGATTAAGATTATAACATTTATATATATATATATATATATATATATATATATATATATATATATATATATAAACAATTAAGCAATATATATTTTCTGAAAAAAAAACACGTAGAAATAAAAAATATCCCACCATTTTTTATTTCTTTAAATTATATTAAAGTAAAGGGTAATATCATAAAACTTTTTAGTGTGATGTCTAGATGTTTTCCTTTAACATAATTTTAAATATAACTAAAATATTTGTTTATATATAACAAAGTGCAAGCAGAAGCTTTTTCTTATTAATTTAAATAAACAAAAATATAAAATATATTCAAATATTTAATGTTGATTTATTGTATTCAAACTCACAAAAAATTTTAAAAGTATTTATACACACAATCATTGTATATAATTACCGAATACAAGAGATTTAACATTGTGTCCATTTTTTTATATAATTAATTTTTAAATTTTATTTTATTTTATTTCTTCACTCCCTAAATATATCATAGTTATCTTCATTAAATATATATATATATATATATATATATATATATATATATATATATTTATTGTCTCTTATATTTTTATAATTTTTAAATATATAAATTATAATAATTATTTTTCTTTAAATTATAATACTTGTTTTTTCTCTTTCTAATAAAAAGTGGTTGCAAAAAGAATTATTTTAATATATAGTTATAAATATGAATTATTTTTTAAATGACAAAAAACACTAAGTTATTTGTAAAATAAATATAACAAAACGATGTGATTCTAATTTTTTTCCTCGTAACAAATGTGCAAAAGGATGGATCTTGATAACACAACCTTATGAAAAAAAAAAAAAGATTTTTAAAAAGAGGTATATCAATACGAAGAACAACTTGACATCACGTGTACTTTATACTGGCATGGAAAATCACTATTTTAAAACAACTTGATACAAAACAAAATCAAGATGAAAATTACTATTTTAAAAATTGGATTGGTTTAATCTGTGTAATTAAAAATTAAATAATTATTTTTTAATTATTGAATTTATATAAAAATTAATAAAAAATAATAATAAAATTTAAATATAAAATATATTATAAAAAATATTATTTTATTAAATAATAAATTAAACTCAATTAATTATTGAAACCATAAACTATATCTACACCATTGAGTGAGGTATTAAAAACAATGAAATGACCGCAAACTCTAAGACCCAGAAAAGCTAATGAACAGAAAGCAAGGCAGGTTTGTCCCATTATGCCTTTTGGGGTGATCATTTAACATTGTGTAGCCATTATTAAAACAAAACTGGGATTGTCCATTGGCTAATGTACAAACCACAAGTTTATGATTGTTAAGAACTTGATCTTATGTTAGACCCCATGAAGACACAAAAATACACAAAGCCAGCACAGTGGACCCTTTAGTAACCATGCCCATAACTTAAAAAAGGGACCCCACACACTCCTTACATGTCTCATTGGCACAAGGCAGGACATAAATTTCACCCATGAATGATTTATTTGGAAAACTGTTCATTATTAAATGGCCCTAGACAAGTGTTGTGTGAGGTGGGTCATGGCAAAGGGTAAGCTCACATTCACCATGCCCTCTTCCTCTTCTTGTGTTCTTCTGTCCTTATTGGGTTCTCATCTTGTTTAGTCACTTCTTCCTGATTCTCTTGTCTAGTCACTCATATATTCCTATCCACTCAACACCATCAAGTTTATTCCACTTTCAGATCTAGGGATTCGCCAAATATCAAATCCCCAACTTTTGAATCACCTTGTTTACTCTTGCTAATATCTTTTCAAAGTTTTAATCAATATGTATTTATCTTATAAAAAACTCAAGTGCTTAAATTTTGTTCGAGATTGGTGATGGGAAAACAAATAAAAGTGTTTTTTAATCAATGCATAGTCTAATGTGTTGTAACTTGGATTCTCTCATGAGTTATTCAATTACTCACAGACGAATTATTTATGTTATGTCCAATTTTATCATTTCATGCCTTTCTAAACCTTTTAGGGGAAAAAGGGTCCATGAGATTAGCCTATTATTGGCTTAAGGTTTGTCCACTTATCTAGTGCAAAGGGTACTAACACTAAAAAAACATGGTTAACACAATCATCGTTATCTGATTTTGTACCTTTCAACTTTCACATTACTAACATTAGTGTAGTCTGAACAAAAAAACCTTCATTGTTTACAAAAAATAAGGTTTGATTTTTTTTTTTAAGTCCTAAAATTTATTAAAAAAAAAGTGTGTATCTGGATGAATTTTATAAACATGTACAAATGGAATCAAATCAATTAAAATAATTATATTATTTATTAATCATATATTTTAGTTACATTCTTCATTTACACAGTTTAATTAATCAGAGAGTGAATAATTTTCTCTCCCGAGATAATGTTTAGTTATAATTTATTTTATATTCGATCATATAAATAGGTTCAGCAGGAATCTATTTGTTAACTTATTTTGTTGTAGGATAAAATAGTGATGCATAAAATATTAAATATGTAAGATCTGTATTAAATAGTAAATTAGGTCAAAATTGTTTTTAAAATAAATTCTAATTTTATCAGAAAATAAATATAAAAATATTATTCATTATTTTATTTACCCGAATATACATTATTAAAATTTTATAATTTAAATATGATACATATATTTTATTTAAATTTATATATGTATGTATGTATTGTAAAAATTAAGAACTAATATTATGTTTTACTTTAATTTTGGCCGATTTAATATAAAAACATTGATATTATTTTGTTAAGTTAATTTCTGTATATTTTATGTATAGTTATTGAAACCAGATGTTATTGCGCTACTTATCTTATTTTTGTTTTATTATTCTTTTTAGGGTTATTTAGGAGAACATGGAGGTTATTCTCAATTGTAAACATTTGTCAATGGAAGAAAATAATAACATGTAACTATATTTATTATAGCTAATTTTAGTTTATATTATTTTTTATAGAATAGATACTTTTCTCTTTATAAATAATAATAATAACAATAATAACAATAATAACAATAATTATTATTATTAAAACCACAAGTGATATTATATCTGTATGACCATATTTTAATTATTTTTATAATTTAAGATTGGTATAATATTTTATTTTTATTTTTATTATATATATATGTATTAAAAATACAGATATATAAATAAAAGTAGATTATAGTAGTTAAAAATGACTACAGTGATTTTTTAAATTGTTAAAAAACCGTTTTCCAGATACATATATTACTATTAATATAAAAAATATATAAAATTAAAAAGTAGTATTATCTTCAACCTTAAAATCTATTTTAATAGATTAATTCACATTCGATCTCCTTCTTCTATTGCCTTTGGTCCTGACAATTATATGCATTAAAAATCTAAAATTTTAAGTTGTTTAATAAATTAATTATTGAAAAATTTAAAGAACTTGTTATGATATAGGATTCCATCAATAAAAAATTATTTGAAATAATTAATATTTAATATATGTACATTGAAAAGTGATATCCAGATAAAACACAACACAATTCCATAAGTAGACAAATATCAAATATGAAACAAATTTATACGGCAACGTAATTTTTTTTATTTTCAGAATGCATGTGATGTGCTCTGTACTTCTTTTTATTTTGTATATTTTAAGTTAATTTATTTTGGAGAATAGAAAACCAAAAAAAATAGTAAAAACAGGAAACAAGTTCTAAAGGTGGGGTGTGATGCCCCAAAACCGAAACCGACGTTTCGAACCATCCAAGAATATTTTGTGTTTTTTTTTTTTATCTTATATAGTAAAAAATTCTCAGAATATGATTGGAGGAGAACTATACACCGTTGGATGAGACAGCTATCGAACGGAAAACCGTGTTAAGAGGCGTAAGTGGGGCTCTTGATAGTACTCACTCAAGAGTTGGATTTTACGGTGTGGATGATTCTACTGTATACTTTCTTTTTTGTTATCTATAATAGAAAATATACATATTTAAATATACTTTAATCTATTAGTTAAAATTTGTAAAAAATATAAAGTTAGGAAACAAATTTATAAGATAAGAATGAAAACCCACAGATTTTTATATGTTATAAAATTTTGGAAAAAAAAAACAATGCACCCTTTTATTTTAGAGTGTGGAAAGTATTTGATTTTATAAATGTATTTTGGTTTGAATTTGAATGAATAAAATATTTGGATTATAGATTTATATCGACTTAACTTGGATCAAAATTTCATATATTTAATTTTAATTGGGATATTGTTAGGTTAATTTCAACCTAAGTTAAGGGTCATTGATGTAATCTTAATTAGAAGATATTGTTAGGTTAATTTCAACTTAAGTTAAGGGTCATTGACTTAATCTTAATTAGAATATGATTTACTCTGTCACAATCAAGATATTTATAATCAGGTTATTATATGTTTAACTAGGATGTCAATTTAAAATATAAATCAAATTTATTTTAACATCAAATTTAAACTAGTTTACAAAATCTAAACTACTTTTGTCTCACTAAATATAGTTAAAGTTTCAAATCCATTCCATTCTAATGAATTTGGATAGATATGATCCAATTAAGCTCCATACCTAATCATCTTTAAGCACGTAACTCTACAAAGCGGTAATATAATAAGTTTTTATAATATTTTTATCATTTTATCTATATGTTATATATATTTTCCACTTTTGACACAACCAAACAGAGTGAGAGAGAGAACAAATATATATATATATATATATATATATATATATATATATATATATATATATATATATATATATATATATATATATTTTTTTTTTTTTTTTTACGAAACAATTTAAAAAGGTCAACCCCACTTTGTTAGAGACAAGGTATGATAGCATATAGATTATTGAGTTTCATAATCTTTTAAAAACTAAAAAAACACTATTTTGCTAAAAAGGTTTTTAAAAACATTTTTTTTTCAGTTTTGAAAAAAAAAAAACAAAATAAAAACTTTTTCTGTTTTAGTTTTTTATTTTTATTAATGAGTATTAATATTGGATTTATAGTGTTTGACGTTTCACAATTAATCTTGTTGGTTGAGCTTTAATATTGAAAATATTATTTTCAAAGTAATCACTATCCAGTAAATTAACTAGTGTTTTTTTTTTTTTGGGACAATATAATTTAAACTTTCTTATTTTGAATGTAATAACAAGTTTTTGATGGTGGTAAGATAACATTCTTCACATAGTCCAACGTTTGCTGTCATTAACCTTTCACATGAATGAATTGAGTATTGAAAATTCTAAACACATGTAATAATTGTGTCTCTGTCTTGGATAAGCAATAGGAACTAAAATATATATTTTTTAAATTTATAAAATCAAAATTACCCTTTTTTTTTATTAACAAGTAATATAATTAAGTTTATAATAAATACAATACAAATAAAACTATGGGAAAAGAAATCACACTATTGTATCAAGTTACCATAAAGTTTAAGAATCATGTTTAGGTGCAAATAATAATATAACTTCAATATGGTAAAGGGTTTTAAACACAGACAGAAAATTTAGGATTTACATTTCATAATAAAGCTTAATTAATTACTTTCAAAAATAAATTCTTATTAATTATTTTCAAAAGACCCTGAATTTAATTTGTTTATATCTGTTAGGTTTAATAAAGAGAAACATGCTAGAATGACGACATTATACTTTTCATAAAAAATAAAATAAAAAATAACATACATTTAATATGTATTTACCCAAATATCAACATGTCAAAATATTTGTTAAAATAATATGTTTTTTCGTTTGAGTTTAGAATTCTATTATGGGAGATTGATTTCTCAATTAAGTTTTCTATTTTTTTTTAATAATTATAACGATAACTCATTGAACAAACGATTTCTCGACATTTAAAAAAAAATTGTTAACAAAGTTAAATAATTAAAGTTAAGTGAGAGAACATAAATATACAATTAAAATAAAAATATTTTTTTGTAAATAAGTTTTTTGTTGTGATTTTTTAACAAAATAAAAATGTTAATAACGGGAAATATATTTGTGATTAATTAATTTTACATAATTTCGTTTAATAAATACATAAAATAAAAATAATTCAGTCATTTAAATTGAATATTAAATTAAAATAATAATTTTATCAATAATTATACATTGTTCATCACAAAGACATACATCATAATAAACTACAAAATTTTAACTATACATTCTCAACCTATCATGTATAATTATCATCATGTTTAATAATCATATAGGGTCATTTCTCAATTTATTCATAATATTTCATATCACTACAAATTGATATTTCATATCATAAACACTTTATTTTTAAAAATTTTACTTTTAAAAGACAATTTATAGTGAAATACATTTACCGTACCATGTTTCTTAAATTGATAAATACAAAATATATAATTAAAAT